ACAACTAGGACTAGCAGGTGTTTCACAACCTGCTTCCTGAAAAATCTGGGAACATGTTTTACCACCAGATCCTGGAACCGGGAGAGTATATATGTCCATCCACACCTAAAACATTTTCAAATATTTGCATCAGACATTTCGGTCTACATTGACATCGTAGCTGGCTAGTATTAATACATAAATATTACAAACCTTTTGAGTAGCAGGAACCAAGAATGTCGGAACTTTTATTTTCTTTCCCTGCACAAGCGACAGCAATTTGCTTAGTCTGAAAAGATCTAATTTAAACTGCTTGATTGGATTTCCTGATTAAACTCATTTTTATTGCAGTTCACATTTAAAAGAAGGAAACCATAAAAAATGTAATGGAAGATTCATTCCATGGATTCTGAGTTTTATTCCATCGTAAAACATGACAAGAACTTAATCGCGCAATGTGAGAACTACACTTGTCTCCTAGCAAAATCAATGATCTGCTAAAAACAAAAAGCAAACATGCCGCATAGAAAAGATTAGCGGGAACAGTTAGAATCTTTGCTCAAGAATGTGAAACATCATTTTGCATTTTTAACCTGCTTGTATAGTTTACCACAAATCTAAAGAAAAAAGAAACTTTGACTTTCACATAAGATATGTGTACTAAGATGGAGTGCAACATTGCAGCATGCACATCAAATTTTCTACCAGAGTACAACACTAAAAGGAGATGCCAACATGGGTTTGGGTATTAATTGCATAAGCATAAACAGGTATGGCTTAAAAATCTAGCATTCAAGTAATAGATTGTTGGATCTAAATGTGAATGGTAACATCATTTGCCCAATTAATACACACCAAAGAATACTTCCCAGTTGCTTATAGATCAAAATTATTCTTTTCCACTTTCTGAATAAAAGAAAAAGGGCTGGACCACAAGGGTAAGGCTGCGTACAATAGACCCTTGTGGTCCTGCCCTTCCCCGGACCCCGCTCATAGCGGGAGCTTAATGCACCGGGCTCCCCTTTTTATGACTGCAGGCAGGCAACAATGGTGGTTGGCAGCAGCATCATAGTCATCTGTCAGCAGTATAAACCCATAATATTTGAGTACTTCAGAAACATTTTCACTAAACGGGTACCAGTAATAGGGTAAACCATTTTCTCATGTCAAACCTACTAGGTAACTGACGGGGTTGTTTCAAGTACTTGTCATGGGAAGTAGAAAAATAAACAGCCACCAACTCACGAAGATAAATGACTTTCTGCTGAGATAGGGCCAAATAAAAGATTACATTGATAGGCTTATAAAAGAGGAGTTAACATCTTACTGAAGCTAGAAAAACTTTTGCTGCGGCCATGAAGTCCTCTGTTTTCCCACCAGTACAAGATCCAATATATACTCTGTCGATTTTCACATCTTTGCATTCTCTTGCCAAAGCACGATTATCAGGTGAATGAGGCTGCAAAATGCAGAAACATTTTGAACATTTAGAGCAAATGATACTCGGAATGAGAGTATAAGACGAAACACAGCTTCAGAGCAAACATATCAACACTAAACAAGAAGAACTAAAGATCCACATACAACACTACACTAGTTGATTTTTCGCAACGGGAAAAGGTAAAAATGTTACTGACCATGTTCAAGCTTTTGCCAACTTATCACTAAGAAGAAACATACCAAGTTATATTGATAACGTGACACTTTTAAGTACCAGTTATGCATTCAACAAGTAGGAAAAGAATAGATCATAAAACCAACCTTAGCCACTAAAGGTTCCAACTTGGAAATATCAATTCTGTACTCCTTAAGAAATCTGAGATGAAAAAAGAGAATATATCATAAAAAGTCATGCTGATGTGAACCTATAAATGATAACAAAATATTGATTTTGGATAAGACGAGAAGTTGTTATAACAATGAAGCAACGTAAACAGAAGTGTATACAATTCCCTTGTCCTTGAAATTGGAGACTAGATGAGCAATTCTTTTCTCAATTCCATTACTTGTGTGCCATAGTCTGGTCTCGAAAGGTAGCCGTGCAATACAACATTCTATGTAACAAGTTACAAAAAATAAACGCACTAAGAGAATCAAACACCAACAACAACAACAAACCTAGTGTAATCCCATAAATGGGGTTTGGGGAGGGTAGTGTGTACGTAGACCTTACCCCTACCTTATAGAGATAGAAGAGAATCAAACACCATTCGACCAAATTCTAGAAAGCGGAGAAGAAGGGGGAAAGAACAAAAAGAAGTTGCATCCCCCAGAGCAAACACATTGCCACACGCCCTCATGTATTCTTATTCTACTTTGCTTACAGTCTGATTCTTGAATTTATGATGGATCTGAAAAGTGACTAAGGATACTTTGAGGCTCACCCTTTTTCTTCCCATTGCTAGTTTGATTAAAGCATGTGAAATTAAAACCTATTGCTTCTCGTTCAATTCTCAAGTTTCATTAATTTCCATGGAAATGATTTAGAGGAAATTGGACACCTTTTCTCCAATACAACACTGGTAAAATAAACTTAAATGTTCGTCACCCCCATACTTGCATGTGTTGCTACTAAGAAAGCTGTACAAGAGCAAAAGAATGTGCAGGAGGTCCATCTAGAGAATGTAATCGATTATGTTTAGCAAAACAAAGATCAGTACACTTGATCCTATTAAACCTATTCATTGTAGATGTCAAAACGACGATAATAAAGAAATGGATCTTGGGTCTAACTCAACCTCAAAAGCTAGCTCATGAGGTGAGGATTTCCCAAGACCATATAAGGAGACCAAGAAACCCATATCCCACCGATGTAAGACTCAATACCCCCCGGCATGCCCAGGACCGGACATCTGGAGCATGGACAATAGAAGATGGGGGCCCAACATCAGGTAAACAATGAATTGCGATGCGTCTAGCTCTGATACCGTGATAAAGAAATGGGCCTTAGGCCTAACTCAATCTCAAAAGTTATCTCATGAGGTGAGGATTGTCAAAGACCATGTAAGGAGACCAAGAAACCCCATATCCCATTGATGTGGGACTCAACAGACGACATTAGAGAATGACAACCAAAAAGCTTCAATTAAGCTTGAGGATTGAAATTCACTAGAAATGATGTATTCATAAAAACCAGTAAAATTGTAATACACCATATTAAAATAAGACTAGTTAAGTAATTTACAAAAAAAAAATAGAACAAACTTATAAAAGAAAAAAGAAGAATGCAATTAAGTGGGCCGAACCCACCAAGTTGTTGACCTATAGGGTTTCAATAAGAAGGAATTTGAAGAAGTTCTAGAGCTCCTGCGAAAAAGAACAAAAATGGAGAACAAAGAGTAAAATTTGAAATTTCAAGAAGGAAGAATAAAAAAAACGAGTAGAAGTGGATAAAAGCTCCGGAGAATGAAGAAGATATCGATTGGNCAAAAAAAAACAAAGGTAACAATGTATTCTGTATTTTATTTAAACTAGTATCCCTATATACTAAATCTATGACGGACGGGTTGAGTTAAATTGTAATACTAGAATTGAGTTTGGTATTTAACTATGGTGGGTAATAGTAACATGGATTTTCATGATGAAATAAACTATTTCATGAATAACCATGAACCTGGAATGAAAAAGTTATTAAGAGTTAGTTTTGATAGCATTATAGGTAGTCTAACAGATGAGATTCTGAGTAACACTGAGACGTGTCTAATCGGAATTGTGACTCGCTATCACTTAAACTTACTGAATTTCGCGGTTAGCAGATGGTAACATAAACTTATATTGATTTATAGATTTCACACGAATTGAGCACTTGGATCGATAAGAAGTCATACAGATTGCTCGAGGTGTTTGGTATTGCGACACGAGTACTGTGAGTAGTAACTTTACCGCAATTTGTATTTCCATAACTTGCATGGTTTACATATGATTTCGAAAATAAAATGGGTTACCGAACGTTTGAAATTACATGTGGGACAAGTCCTTTACTTGATATGGTACTGAACAGTTTACTTGAGATATTTACAGTTATTTAAAATGTTCTCATTGTTACTAGACATATTTTACTGTTACTTAAGATATGATTACCGTTACCAGAATGGGATTACATGATTCGAAATGCCCCGTACTATTTTGAAAATGCTTTCATATGAATATGTATTGTTTACAAAGAAAAGTATAAATGGATGGAGACTTTGAAGGATCCCATAGCTAACGGCGGGTTCGTTAGACCTGGTGCACCTTGTATTTATAGATTACCAATTACAAGAACTAGCATACAGTTAGAGTTTTCCCTCGAGTAGGGACCTACAGTTATATTTGACTCCTTTTACAAAGGGGTCCACACAGTGATACAGATTACATGATCCTTTCTTGGAAACCTCCCAAACATAAAGATTTGTTATGACATAGTGTTTACCGAATTTATTACCGATTTGTTAAATTGATTTCTGTTACAGGAAACACATGAATAGACTGATTATATTTATCGTTTTGAGAGGAAATTTTATTTTTATGATAGTTTCTGATAATTATTATACAGGCATATTTTTTTGGACTTGTTCCCAATTAAAAACGGTTGTGGTTAAGTGTTATTACTCACTGAGCTAGCGACTCACTCCCCACTATATTTTACAGAGACAGCAGTTAACGTGAGTGCACTTGTTCGTGTGGGTGAAGAATTTATTTATTGTTATAGTTTTTTTCTTGAAACTCTTAGAATCGCTCCATAGTCATTAGTTATAGTGTTGTGAGTATTCATTCATTATTTCATACCTATGGCTCGTATTTGACTTTCTTATCGTATTCTGGAGATGAATTTAGTATTACTGTGTTGCAAGTGATTGATTAATAGTGGTGGATAACTCTTTGATTAGTCAATGAGAATTATGAGATATTTTGGTTGATATGTGGTGGTAATGTTGGAGGGAACTTGTTTTTTGGTTAGTCGATGAAGATTGTGACTGATTTAGGTAAATATTGGTTGCTTGTTGTTTATTTATGAGACAGAAAAGTTTTTGGGTAGTCCTAAATAGGGGAAACTCTGTCCGATTTTCTGTAAAATACCGATGAGGCTTACTTGGGAGCACTTGCTCCTAAGCGCCGGTCATGATCCTAAATTGGGTCATGACAAAAATAACTCCACATAATTTTTCCAGGATCATAACATTAAGGTAATATATAGAAAGCGAGCCAACCTTTGTTGTGCTACATTCCAGAGAAAGAAACGGAGACATGAATGTACATTACGGGGATATCAGGAAAAAAAACATAGTCAATTTGAAATTCCAAATGAGGAAAGATAACAGTGAACACACAATATTGACAAAAGGGAGCCACTAGAATGTACCACAGCTCGACCTTAATGTATTGTGAGGAAGCATGGTGAATAAACATGTCCTCCTGTTTTTGCATTACAGTTTGGAAGTACTGGTATTTCTAGAACTAAAAGTCACGCACGTGAATCAAGTTGACAGTTAAGATATTATTAAGACTAAGATACAGGACATACACACTAGAATGATGTGAAAACACTATGGCTTCAGGAAAAGAGGATAAACAGCGTTTAATTACCTGGCTCCTTCATCGCTATAAACAGGTTCATAGGGCACAGAAGTCTTGTCCTGTGACAGCATTAAATAAATATATATTAGCTTTCGAGTAGCAGACTTTTTCCTTCTCTAGACCAAACAATTAAGATATTTTGATTGTGGACAGCATGTGCTGAATAATATTAAGCCTGTGAGGGACGGGAAGGATCTAAAGAAGTAAATTGTACCCACGGCTTGGGTTCATTTACCTTGAGATAGTCATAAGTTGTTTTATCGGTTGGGATGACACCATTCTTTCCACCAGCTTCAACAACCATGTTGCATAATGTCATTCTTTCTTCCATCTATTAGAGCAATGAGAGCTGTTACTATTTAAAAACAATACCTGCTTATTTTCATCAAAAATATCAAGAAAGCTTACACTCAAACTTTCAACTGTGGTGCCAACGAACTCCATTGTTTTGTATGTAGCACCAGACACAGAAATTTCACCAATAATCTGCAACATGAAAGTACCAACAGACAAAAAGTGAATTTTGGAATATTATCGGTCTAACAAAGTCAGCGAAAGAAGAAATGCAGACAGATAGCAGCGCACACATAAGACATCCAACTGACAGAAATGAGCCACAGAGTATATATAACAGTACTTACTTGCAAAATCAAATCCTTAGCTAGCAAGTAACTTGGCATTTCGCCATCCATGACAAATCTCAAAGTTGGAGGCACCTGCATCATACAGATATAAATTTCATATATTATGTCCATTAGCACGAAGAACCTTTATTTAGTAATTAAGAGAAAGAATGGAAACAGCCTCTTGCAGAAATACAGGGTAAGGCTGCGTACAATAGACCCTTATGGTCCAGCCCTTCCCCGAACCCCGCGCATAGCGGGAGCTTAGTGCACCGGGCTGCCCTAAGAGAAATAATGGGTATACATCATATGAAAGTGTCAACTACAGGTATGGAACAAGTACAGATAGAAAGTTTGAGCTTTAAAGCAAAGAAGGTTCCCAACATCATGCGAAGGAGAAAAAGCTCAGTTCAGTATCCAAAATTAACGCAGTAGGCGCAGAATCTGAAAAGAATAAAGACTGTTTCAGCACCATTTGTTAATCACAAATAATGAAGGTCCAAATTTTATAGAGGAAAATGTCAATGACCGTACTTTGCATGTCACAACTTTAAATTTTGAATCAGGAATAAAAATGCATATTAAAGAACAGAACTTATAACTTTTGGCAACAGAATTGATAGTCATAGATAGTGCTCCTCTAAATTAAAAGTAATTAAGAAGTTTCAGTACTCCACAGAAAAAATTAAACAGCACTGCAATGATTCTAAACCACAGTTTCTGCGTAGGCTGCGTCAACAGACCTTGAGCAAAAGCTTTCCAGTACCCAACACAAAACCTGCATCTGTAGTGCCAATTCCGGTAGCAAATTGCCCAAACGCTCCGGCAGTACATGTATGAGAGTCTGTTCCCAACAAAACCTGATAATATAAGAATTTTACAGAGTTAAAAGCGTATACCATCGCATATTAAGACACTTTCATATTGCGATTATTGGCAAACAATTTTCACCTCTCCAGGTCTGCAGTGACCTTCTTGGGCAAGAGCAACATGGCAGACGCCTTTGTAATCTGGATTAGCCTACACAACACATCACATATTAGTTTTTCATTTGTCTAACACCAGACAACAGAAGCAGCAAAGCATATAATAAGTTGGAACCTTTATATAGAACTTAGCCATACCCGGAAGTTCCCGCGATCTTTAATGTCATAGAAGTACTTAATATTTTGCTCACTGCAGTAGTCCCTCAACACATCCACATTACGGTTTGCTCGCTCGTCAGCCGTGAATATGTAGTGATCAGGTATGATGACAATCTTCTCAGGATTCCAGACCTATGGTATCGACAACAGCCACATCATGTTTATTTGGAGAAACATGTCTCTCCTCAATATAGTTAACTCTGTCCTTAACAGTTTTCAGTTCGTTAGAAAACTTCACAAAGAATGACATAAACTGCCACTAGTTACTCGCCTTGATTTTATCATCCAGAACATGTATATGAAATTTGAAAAAAAAATCTACTTCCAATACCTAAAAGGCTAAAAGCAATGAACAAAAAGGAAAAGAAAAGGAGAAGTTTCCAGATGAACTGTGATTATTTGCTTCAACCAAGAGCGAAGAGACCTACTTTTGCAATAACGAAAAAGTTAAGCTACTCAAAGCAAAGCCTAAAGTGAGAGGTATCCATACCAGAAAATCATATTGCAATATGACATAAGGCAGAGGAATAAAATTATCAACCAACACCAAATACATTAATTGACCATGTACATGATTGAAGGCCATTATAACCTCCCAGCTAATTCCAATTCAACTCTATAATCAGGCTTAAAACTAATGAGAGAAGCCAAAGTCTAAACTGACTCGAGCTCGAATAAGTTGGCAGTTATAAAAAATTGCAAAAGATGGTTTATAATGCTCAAAAACTTCTCTCTATACACGTATTTTTATATTACATGAAGAATGATTGTCAGACAATCAGGAATCATATGTGTAGAGACATTTTGGTGCATATAATTGATTTACATTTCTAAGTATACAACGAAATGTAGTTTTATCAATTACCAAGTACTAATAGATAAATCGCATCACTCGATCATATTAGCATACATAAGTTACTCTAATAGCAGCAATAAATACCTTAGCTTTCTGTCCAAATTGTTCTTTGAAAACTCCAAAAGAGGCCGGGCCACCAATATCATGTGTCATCAGAACATCAACATTGACCCACACATTATCACCAGGAGTAACTTCAGGCTTGTCAGAAGCCCTAGCTAATATCTTCTCAGTCATAGTCATCCCAGTCTTAACCTAACAAATGTTATCACAACTCCAAAATCAAGATTCACTAAAATCAAAAACCCATATGGGTAAAATCAACAAAAAGTCCAAAAATTACCTAAGTTCGGGATTTGACTCAAAACGGTCACTAAGGTGGAGCACTAATAGTCAAGCAAGATTAAAAGTGGTGCAAATCGGGTGGGAATGTACAGTAAAAGCTAAAGGTTCAGCCGAACCAGTGTTATCAAAGGCAAAAAGCGCAAAAACGCTCTAAGGCCCGTTGGGGCTTTAAGCGCAAAGCGCAAATAAAGCGTGAGCTATAATGAAAAAAGGTGCAACTGGAAAAAAAGTAAAAAAATGTATATGTAGTTTAAGACCAATAATTATAAGCATGAATAACAAATATATGGACAAAAAAATTACAATAAAGTGAAATATCAATTGTTTAGTGTCACCTTTTCAGGATTACATTCATTGGCAAGGAAAAGTATGTCTTAGAGCCTTGATGCGACACTGAAGGGCCCGTAAAGCGAGGCGAAGCGCTCAACATATTTTGAGCCTCGCTTCAGGGCTTAAGCGCGCTTTAAGCGCGCCTTTGACAACACTGAGCCGAACCCAATAGCTTTGGCTTAGACCTTGTACATATTAAAAAATCTGTACATAAATATATATTTCGAACCTAGTAACTCAAATGGTCAGTGGATTCAGTTACATCCCGAACCCATAAAGTTCAATTCCTGGATCCGCCTCTAGTGCAGATTTAATCCAACCCAACAAAATCTGATGGTGAATACTTAGTCCAACTATGGAATAAATCATATGTATAAATCACCTGTCCTGTTCTTCAAACAGAAAAAAATAACTCCATCATTTCTTTACTTTTCCTAATTATTCTTGATCCCTAACTGAGAGATTGAGAAACCTAAAACAGAAATTCATAAACACAAAAAGAGTCCTCATTTGAAGAAATTAAGCCCTTCCCAATTGAATTCCAACAATACAGTGTAAAAGCCCCAAGCTTGGATCTTTTTTTCTTGGGAAAATGAAATCTTTTTCCAACTACTACTACTACACTTCAATCGCAAATAAGCCGGGGTCGACTATATAAATCTTCACTGACCACATTACTCCATTAATCCGTTTAATCTCATCTCATGCCAATATTATGCAAAATCAAACCTTTTTCCAACAACAACAACAACTACTACGTCTCAATTCCAAACGTCTGAGTCGGCTATATGAATCTTCACTGACCATGTTACTCAATTAAATTATCTCATGTTAATATTATGCAAAATCAAATCTTTTTTCCAACAACTACTACTATGTCTCAATCCCAAATAAGTTGGTTACTGCATTAACTATCTCAAGTCAATTTTATGTAAAATCATTTTTTTTCCAACAACAACTACTACTACACGCCAGTCCCAAACAAGTTGGAGTCGGCTATATGAATCGTCACTAATCATGTACTCCATTAAACCGTTTAAACTCATCTCATGCCAATATTATGCAAAAATCAAAAAATAAATCCCAAAATAAATGAAATTTCAAACAAATCAAAATACCCAACTGAGCCAGTGGTAGCTGGTTTGCGTTCAGTCTGTTGTGGTGACATTACAGAAAATATTTTCTTGGAAACCACCTTCTTCTTGGTAGTTTGAATGCAAAATGAAGGTTGTGATGAGAAAGCTGATAGACCCACATCTCTCTGCACAACAAATGACAGAAAAAATTGGGTCACTCAAAATTCAAGAAATTTAAATTTTTATGACTATAGGCTGATAAGTCTATATTTCTTGTGGATACACAAACCTTGTTGATGACATGAAATGTGGAGCTTGAAGCTACAGCTGAAGACGCCATTGTTGATAGTATGAATTAGTTTCAGTTTCTTTTTAGGCAGTGATAAAGCTCTTTATTAAAGAAAATGGGCGCAGTTTTGGAGGCTGTGAAATGGCGACTATGGCCGTTAAGTCTACACAACTCCCGGATCGGGTCCCACTCAATAGGTGACAAACTTCAAGGGGGAATTTCCTCTCTTTCTTGTTCCTATCATAGAATGGAGGTATTTACACAAAATTCTTGATTCTAATTGAATGCTTTTTTAATAAAAGTTTTAAATCTTATATAAGAAAGAAAAAAAGTAGAGAAATGTACATTTTTAGTATTTCTTTTGGTTAGTCAGTGTAATTAATTTCAATCGGCCGGTCAGTTTTGTATTTTGCTCCAAAAAGTATTACTTTTGGCTACTCCTATATCCCAAATATAAATGACACTATTTTCTTTTAACTTGTTTACAAAATAATTTTATTTTTTTATATTTTAAAAATAATTTAATTTTAAACCTTGTATTTTACTTTTAATGATAATGATTTGTATACCACAAATATTTTATAAAAAAAAAAAAAAAAATTCAAATTTTGTGCGTAATCAAAACACATCGCTTTTCAAGTATAAATTAAAACCTTCTAATGCACATTAATCATAAAAAAATACTAACATAAGAGTTAAACATAAAGCAATATGTTAAGAACATATTTTTCACAGCATCCTTAAATAACATGTCATTCTAGAATATTGTATAAAAATGTATGCAGCAGCTAGCCATGTTTGTCTTCTTGAAATTGAATGTAAGAACGTAAGCTTTAATATTCAATTAATAAGCAAGATTTTGGTACTATCCTATTCTTGGCATTCCACCTTCCTTACTATTTATATGATCTAGGAGGAACGAGAGGATTTGGTTGATTGCTTTTCATAGCAATCGTCTGGTTTTAATTGCCATAAATAAAATTCGGTAGCCGTAGCACTATGTGTGGGTTATAAATGAGAATGTTTTCGTAGTGTAAGTTATTAAATCACAATTAATATGAGTGATCTTGAAACACAAGTTGTTAGGTTTTAGATAAGTTATCATTACTAGGTCTAATTCAACTTATTCCAAATTTAACCAATTCCTTAGATTATTTTTCACTTAATAGTTGTTACGGGAGAAAAATATTTTCGACTAATATAAGTAACATTAACCATGAGACCATCAGAAACAATACAAATTATGATTTGAGGCTAATTGTGGTTTTTCAACTTCCAGAAATGTATACATCGTGGGGGGGGGGGTGTTAGAAA